ACCAGCAATATGGTCGGAGTGAGAACATCGGTTGACAGTAAATCCAACAAATCTTCGTACGACTGTTTCAATAGCAAATAAGGAGCGAAAATAACAGCACCTGGAAAAGATAAAAAAGAACACACGTGTCTGTTAGACAAGACCGCAATTGTTTTGGCATTTAGATTGGACCAATTGGCCCAACGCGCAAAAGACTATGAGGAAGGGTTACCGATTGTGCAAGGCTTAAGCGGTTTGAGAGAGTATTGTCACACGTGAAGCGAAGACAACCCAGGCCGTCCATCACTAGAGGAAGCTATCCAAAGACGTGAAAAGATTTCATCTGTTTGTATTATTTTTCGAACAGAGAGAGAATCGCAGCAAAAAAGTGGTAAAAAGCCTGTGCTATTCGCATATGGGCAATGAAACGTCAGCAATCACCCATCACTTTACACAATCACCTAAATAGCATCCATCTTGCAATAATATGAAATTCATTATGCTAAGAGAATTCTCAGTAATTGCTTCGATTTTGACAAATGAGAAGTTAGTGACGAAATTCATCGTTATCACTCAACCCTGTTTTGCTAGACACCATCACTGTGTGGTATTGTAATTCAAATTCAATTATTACACTCCTGTAAATAACAATAACCAAAAATCTCGTTGGCTATGCGAAACTTCAATACTAGACACAAGAGTTTCAGTAAATTTTATCTGACCATGAGCGAAATCCGTAGGGTTTATGGCAGAAATATACTGGCAGTTCCATAGAACTGTGTTAGTGATTCCATGCGATAAGATAATCGCATTCGGGCAGTAAGCAAGCTGAGCAAGCTTGTATTCCACCGTAGGATTACTGTATTACGTTGTGCTGATCCCGGAATTGATTTGCACGCCAAAACAGCTGTTCAAACATCATACTTTGCAGAAAGTGAAATGAAAAGTATGGGTGCTAGTGCTCTAAGCAAACTTCAAAAGGTCTACCAGGTTACCCTAAGCGTTCGCTGCGCCTAGTATTGTTTGGATACAGGTGCTCCGTGGGGTTGCAGTAGTTTCTACACCAAGAATGCCATTGTCATCCTTCACATCGCAATGCCGAAACAAAAGCAAAACAATTTAGATCCGAGTGAATAGAGATACAGGACAGGACCTTACAGATGGCGTTACCATTGGCGTCGACACCCACAATGGATGGGTATGCGATTTCCTGTATCTACAAATGCCAATATAAAAGGAATGGCTGAAACGGTCTTCAGCGGGGAGAACGCCGTGGTACAGAACGTGCCATTGTATATGTCAATCGTAGATTGTACAAACGGCGGTATTGCGCAACACCGAGTGAGATTCTTTTTCTTGTACTCTTCCTCAAACATTCCCCATCGTACCTCCCTTGTCGCCCCTTTGACTAAAGTTGCTGAAAACTTTCACAATCTGGAAAAAATGGAACGAATACATAAGTACACCATCTGTCAATAAGGCAACGGTGTACCGCATGGTAACACTAAAGCCATGTCCAGATGACCTTCAGACGAAGGCTCATTAGTTACTTTTAACCAGCTTGCACTCGATGCTTAACGGCGANTAACGGCGAACCGTCTGATATACAAAGGATCCCGATTTTCAACTGATTTACAACTACTTCAATTGTCTTCTTACGTTCTCCTGACCCAACCTCATCCTTATGCCTCATCTTTCGTGTGTCCATCGATTCGTCATTCGACGTTCATGGTGTTGGGATTGCACTAAGTGCCAAGGGTGAGAGCTCGCTTTTTTAGTGGATTCCAATCGGTAGCCGACTGCGCGTTACACGTCTAAATGGTTCACTACAGCTACAGAACAGGGTGACGATGCTCATTCATCGTATCGGTGTATGCACGGACGGAGTGCAGTGTACTTGAAATCAGGGATGAATTCCACAAGGATCCTTATCAGTTACTTCAAAGCGTTAGGTTAACGGACGCAGTAGAATTTAATGCTCGAATGGGATCCCTGCATTATCCAGAAAGGCTTCTAGGCTGTCTACATGCCGTTCTAGCCGTTAAAAGGGAAAACGGAGATCTTATATATCTTATACAACGTTGCACTGAAAACGGTTTGCTCCTGTTAAGCAAAAACCTCTCCAATAAGAAACATCAACGTATCACATGGAATTTCCCAACTTCATCACAGCGAGCACACAACCATAGGAAAGTGTAGAGAGACGGGGAAAGCTACGGCTACTAGTAATTGTCGTCCTCTTTTTCGTCTGATTACAAATGTGGGTACTAGGAAAATAGGCGTAAGTGAAATAATTAGGGAAGCGATGTCACACTGACTGGTCATCAACAACGTCGTCTTGATCGATGGGCAGAACATTCAACGGTCAAATTCAACTGCCCCTTATCGATATTAGGCTTGTCATCCCCTATATCAGCTGGCCAACTACTGACAGCTGAACCCAGTGCTCCAATTAAAATGAAAGTTTCCCGGGAAATAGGTTGTCTAAAAAAGTATAAGACCTTCTATCCAGATCGGCTGTTCCCAACAGCTTTAAGGATGGAGAATCAGCGTTGGTCTCGGAGTTGACGAAACTCCTGGGCGCAATATGGGAGACTGAACGGGTTCCAGCTGAATAGTGTGAATCGGTTATCTTATCGATTTACAGGAAAAGTGACAGAATCTATTGTGCAAACCACAGAGGAATTAGTTTAATTAACAGTGACTCTAAACTGCCCGCTGGCATCGTACTCCATAAGTTGTCTGCCGCATGTGAAGAATGCACACATGAGAATCAGAACCTGGTCGTTTTTTAGACCATATTTTCACACTCTACCAAATCACAGTGCATCGACATTCTTTTAGTTTACCAACCATTGATATTAAGCTCGATCTGAAAGCGTCATTTGACTCAGTCATCCAAACTCAACTCTTTATTTCAATTTTGCAATGTTTCTATCAACAGCCAAATTAGAGTCGGCAAATTTTCACTTGCATCAAAGTCATCATCATCACCATCGTACAGCGGGATAAACAGAAGTGAATTCCACTAATCGCTGACAAGATCACGGAATATGTCCATTGATTAAGAATACAATGTAGGCGAACAAATGTTTTTGGTGAATACCTTTTTAAGCCTTTGCAGGCTGACAAAATCACAATGCACACAAATTAAGTGATGAAGTGCAAGTTGGAGAGTGATTGGGCTTAACTGGAGGGTGAAAAAAAGTGAACCTCCATGATCAAGACAGTACACAATGTGAATGCCCATGCATACCTTTTCAAGCATTTTGACCTGATACGAAATGACAAGGACGCCACTGCTGAGTTTTTCGGACCGCCATCTAGAAGACGAGATACACTTATTCTATCTAAAAGCTCTGTGCATTTCTTCAGGTCTCGTTTCCACGTCACGTGTTGACCACAGAAAGTGCTGTTCGGCGTCCGGGTAAGTTGCACGCTTTCCTGTATAGATTGAGGGATAGCGTAGCCGTGTTCAGAAAGAGCTTTGCTCCTTCAAAATGCAAAATGTTCCAGCAAGGCTGGGTTGGTTCAGCACCCAGCCTCAATCTTACTGGAAAGTAACAGATCGAGGGGACAAGTTTAGGTATTTGAGCAGCTACATTTCAACTGGCGGACGCAGCACGGATGAAATGTCGCCAAGCATACAGAAAGCTCGATTGGCATTAGTCAACGTGAGACATCTGTGGCGCTACNGCGCTACCGCGGCGTTCGGTCGTCCGTGAAGCGTCCAGCGCACCCTGCGGCAGTTCGGCTCATTCTGCTATGCAGCGCAGAAACTGGATCATTAAGAAAACAGGATAAAGATAGACCGTTGGTTTTCGAACACCGTTATCCAAACAGCATTGCACAAATCTGGTGGAGTAATCAGACGGGAACTGCTGAGGTTATGCATAGAGTTTAAGGTAACCGCGGTCGCCCATTGGAGCAAGTAGTTGACTCCATAGATTACGTTGGTTGGGGCATGTGTTACGCACGCCACTAAATGGAATGGTATGGCACGCAATGTTTACCGATGCAGGTAGTGAGTGGAAAAAAGGTGGTCAAAATAAGACGCGGTATGAAAACTTTAACCAGGAGACTCGGTCACATAGGTCCCGTTAGGCTGGATAAGGACCTCGGGATGATCGTAACTGGCAGTTAGAGACACTGAGTGTCGTAAACAGTGGTGTCCGTGTTCTAATTTCTTTACAACCTTCGTCTACTGAAATTCTCCATTTTCCCTTCGACTCTACTTTCAATTTTCCCATATTTATCCTAATCCGTCATCCAAAAGACAGCAAACAAAAACGGTGCGTGAAAGTGCATGGTTAATGATTGAACAAAGTGAAACTCCTACGGGCACGGAGAAACTGCACAAAGTAGGAGTTTGGTCACAAACGCTTCTCTCGCGTTAATCTCAAAGATTTATTATGGGATTAACTTACAAGCTCATGCTTTTCTGGTCCCATAGGTTCGTGCGGTGGAGTAAGAAACAGCGATACATACAATTGTTTGTGTAAAATGTCACGTGATACGTGCTTTTTCCACTGCTGCACGCAGCTTTACTTATGTTGGAATGTAAGGTGTGCTAATGTTTCATCGAGCCTCAGTTTGAAAGACTCAATGCCTGGAGCACAGACGACGTAGGATGGTAGAGAGTTCCAGATCGAACACACTCTGACTGCGAATGACTGACGCCGGCATTCCAAGCGGCATTTTGAGATCACTAGTTTAAATGGATGTCCTCTAAGATGAACGTTGGGTGACAATTTCAGAAGCGAGCGACACGGATGGCTTGGGTTTTGCATTATTTGGTATAGCATAATCATATCTCCTCTGATGCGCCGGTAGTGATTGGAATATAATCCCAGTGACTTCAATCTCTCTGCATATGAACACTTATCTGTACTGGAGATACATGAGTCCACGAAAAACTAAAGTGTTCGTGCAACAGAAATACTGCAGACCGCTAATCCATCGCAACGTCACTATGTCTTGCCAGTATGGTGACACTAGCCAGCAACCAAATTCTTAAATCGACTTGCCAACTACTATTGTACAGTGGACAAGAATCACCCCATAATAACCCTAAGATAATTGTCATGTGGAGTGCACTACAAGCGAGTTGACGGCTATCCTCCAAACCGTAGGACATCATTATCGGACATTCTTATTTATCCATCAATATCATTGCATAACACTCCACCCACATAGATCAGTTGCTTCTCCAAACAGGCAACAGTGGACTTTTACGTCTTTAAACTACTCTGCTGATATGAGAAGATCAAGCGATTCCAACGTTAAGCATCACGACAACTGCATCGAAAAAGATTCGGGTACTCACGTCATCAACTGGAGGATGAGAAATTCGCATCCAATTGGCCATCCAGTTGGAACAAACCGACAGGAATAGAAAGCTGTGCAGTGATGCAATCAGACAATAACGCATCCTTTTTGATGCCTCATTAATACCGAGACTGATCAGATGGTGCGAAGTTACACCGTAGTCAGTCTAGAAAAATCTATTATGAATTTCGCGGGCAGTATAGGCCAATAACGATCCGTGTTGGATACATATCGTGAATAGGATACGCCACTAATAACATCCGTACCGGTGAGGTGCTGCCGTGGTGTTCAAGGAAATATAACAAGAAAGGAACCGAATAAGCATAACTAAGGTTACGGGGTAAATTAGGCGTCAAAACAGAGGAGAGGAACGGCGGTAGACAAATGTGTGATCGACTGGAAAATCCGAATAACGAACTATCAAATGGATTACCAGAAGAACAAACATCCTTAGATCGCCAAATCAGCACAAATCACGGCTTCTGACATGGAAATAAAAATAAATGAGGTGTGGTTAGTTCACTACAAATCGAAAAGAAGTGGGGAGGGGACTGAAACTCACCAATTTTAGCCGATCGTGATGTGGTATCATCTGGTCGGAGGGTTAGAAAGACACGCGCAGTCGATTCAGTGTCCAAAATTTGTGAGCTCGATTCCATTGATCTAATATTGACCGTGTATTTGAAACAATCGCGAAAAGCTCTTATTTCAATCGGTTTGGTCAAACGCAAATGGGAGGAGGGACGGAGAATTTGTGAACAAATGGAATAGACCGACAAACATCGAGTAGCCTCATCGACATCCCAGTTCAATAAGTCTGCGATGGACTGGGGTTGGGNAAAGTGAACGGTTCAGATGAGTCTGCAGAAACATGGTTGGTTTACAGTAAACGGGCTTGATATATGCTCTGAATGAACAGTCCATACATATTGTAATTGAAAACGTTTTCTCTGTGTTGAAGACAGAAACAAGTTATCTACCCCATGAGTGGTCGTTAGAGACCACGTACTGGAGGGAACCGATAAATGCAATCTAACCTGCTGAACTTCATGGCAAAAGGACTGGTTCAAATGATCAAGAGTAAAATACGACACATGACATCTCGGTATAACGAAAATAAAATATCTGTAACCTTTATCCATCATTTATTGTAAGTCAATTTCTATGAATCTTTTGCTTTGGTTTGATTATCCTGCAACTGATTTTTATCCAAACGTCGTCAAAATCGAGAAATCGTAGGTTCGTAAGACACTCTTCGAATGGAAGCTGGAATATAAGTGTATACTATCGAATATATGTTGTGCGCGTGGTTTGAGGGGACGCTATATCCATTCCCGTGCATGAGAGTTAAAATGTTGGCTAACGAGAAGGGAGAGGTTCAACGAAAGTCATTTTGTCGTACGAGTTCGACCAGGACCTCTATACCACGTATTCGAAAACCATCGAAATTCTACCCAGGTGTCACGTTTGTTTAGGTCCGACACAACCAAGCCACAAATCTGACACCGAATGATCGTAATTATTCTTTGAAGGCTGGTTGTTCTCAAAATAAATTAGTGAAATGCCAATGTTGTTAAATTCACAATGTAAGGGGAAATGTGGGAATGAATGCTGTGTGTATGCACTTATGCATTGACAGTCTTTTGTATGAAGGTACGAATCAGTCAACAGAAACAGTCAGTCAGTCAACAGAAACCCATGACGAAAACTATATGAAAGTTTTATTCGTAACTCAGTAGCAACTTGACCAGGGCGAAATTCTGCAGAGAGGATTTTTTATATAAAACCCAGCAAAATCCTAGCAAGAATGATACGACAACTGAACCTGGTTGAAAGATAAAAATGACGGGGACAAACCAGAATGAAAAGAATGAGAGGGGAGAGAGATTACAATCACTAAGACTATATTCCACTCAGTAAAGCCAAGCCATCCGTATCATCCGCTGTCCACGTTGTCGGCTAACATCTACCCCAAAGGACATCATTTCGAGTAATGTGCTTCCAAAATGTCGACTGGAATACCAGTGTCAATTTTTTGCCGTCAGAGTGTGCGCCACTCGGAACGTTCCTCCATCTCAGGTAGTTTGTGCGCTAACTGTTGAATCTTTCAGGCGGAAATTTGATGAAAACCTGGTTCACCTTACACTCCAACACTACTAAAAATGCAATAAATTTGAAGACTACAGAATGTGTCATCTCCACAGCCGGAACAAAGAGACTTCCCATTTTTTCACCGAGAAATTATTAAAATGTTTAAATATACTATGGCGACAACAGAAGGATGAACTCCTCTAATAAAACTGACTGACTTTGCAATCTTAAAAAAAGACTTCAAACGATGTGGTTCCCCACACAAAACCTACAGTTAGTGGAATATCACCGGGTACTATATTCACAGGATTCTTCACAGATGCATACTGACTCCGGTTAAACTTTAATCTAATGACGGTACGTATGTATATGCAATTACGGACAAAGCTTGAGTGTTATACTTACCTGTCCTGTTTTGTTTCTGAGAAGCAAAGCTACTAAATAGGAGATTTTTGTCTCGATAATGTACGAATCAGTCGGAGGTTCAATTTTCGTACTGTTGACCTCTGATTGGATAGGGTGAACAGGGTGAACTGTGAAAACTTTGCATAAAACTCTGTTGCCTCAGTATGGTCGGGGTTGGGTGTCTAGGGTTGTTAGGAATTTGAGCTGACTATCCTTCGGACTTCATCTTCACATACAATCCTCAGTTCATCGATTCGACCATATACTTGGAAGCACTAGACTCGAGTCTCGCTGTTATTAGAGCTCATCAGTGGTGCATATCCACCGTCCTGTAGGGGGTTTTAACTCCAGACCCATCGCATGGAAGGTGTGTGCGTTACCACTGCGCCAACCAGCTCATGCCATGGTTGAACTAAATTGCCAATTCATGTTTGTTCAGGTGTCGTCTTCGGTGATAGTCAATTCATTTTGACCGGACAGCAACGAAGGGAAACACAGATGACATACTGTTAACTCCAATCGAAAGCCTCCCACCAGGTCAGGACTTCCTTGCAGGTACGGACTGATTCACCAACGTATCTACAAGGCTGGATCGATATTTCAAGTTTGACTCACAGTTACTTGTGAGTAGTGGTGTAGGCTTGCGGCTGGTCACCCTCCGTTGCACTTCGCGAAATGCTCATATACGACCAAGCGTCTCGAATAGCCTCTGCCACTGCCTTCCCATGGCGGTGTTTTCCACTAAAGTGAGAGGACGAAAAGCCGATATCCGGGGCTATAACCGGGTTGGTGGAGAACTGATAGTTCACCTAGGGGAGTTGAACAAAATCCCTGATTCCAAACGAACCAAAAGGAGGCGAACGAACCACACAAATTCCTGGATGTGGCAGTGGTCGCCGGGTCGATTGGGCATTGAGGTGTATTGGGCACGTTGGACGTCCGACCCCGTCCAAAGGACGAATGATCCGATGCATTGGACACCAGCCCCAAATGGATTGCGCTTTTTGCACACCGCCCCGCTGCCTTGCGGATCAGGCTTTGGCTAGCCGAAGGCTCCGGTTGTGGATTCCTCAAGAAAATTCACGTGCCTTGGCCTGGGCAATCTGGCAGTATTCCACCGACATGCAAATCATGGAACATCTTTCTTTTTATAAAGATTATTGCAATATGGTTTGNCACATTCTGGATTCAGACGTGTGTGAAAATATATATATATATCCGCTGGCGATTCATCCAATTTTGTCTTTTTGAGGGTGGAGGTAACCAAAAAGTGAATAAATCGACCACAGTATAGTATTATGGGACTGAGGATGCAAGAGAACAGAGGGGATGGTGTTTGGTTGAAATTCAACTAGTGGAAGGTCTAGTTCACTTGAGCTGATAAAACCAAACCGGTTGAGAAACCAGAGCCCAAAAATTTGGCGGATGAAACGCTCATTCAAACTTAACCATAGCACATTCAAGTCTCTAATATGTCATACATCTCGAGTGAGTGAAAGAGATTTTAATTTTAATGGCTGTTAGTGAATGAATAAAGACAGGACTTAAAATTGCATCAACGATGTTCTTCAACAGCTTAATAAACAGGGTTTGTAAACACTAGACGCTTCTTAAAAAGTTGCGAATTTCCAACGATACGACACTTCACAGACACAAGTATATTCCATTCATGAGCGGCAAACGATCCACACCGGATGAAAAACAAGATTGAAAAACCCGAACAGGTCTAACATCTGACAGGGAGTTGGAACATGTAAGCGACGCCAGATGCAAACTGGAACTCACCTCAGCCTCCTCGTGCCATGCGTTTGCGTGCTCGGAATCTGTCCGGACAGATTCAATGTGCATCAAATTCCGGACGACTGATGCGGCTTTCAAGTAAAATTGCATCACCGAGTGCATTTTACTCAACTGGAAACGAAGCCGTTGAAATTCTCGAAATTGAACACCGTTTTCACGTCGAACATCTGATCAAGGAATACGAGAAATTTCGTCGAGAAACGAACTACAGATGAAATTCAAACGCCATGTGCTTTAACCGTCTTCCACGACCGGCTCAGGTTGATTTCCAACGAAACAGTATCAGATCAAGTGGTATTAGAGATGCCACAGAGCGTTTAGGAAGTCAATTAACCATAACAACCAAACGAGAGATAAGCGTGAAAAGAATGGGTAATTGAAAAGAAGAATGAAGTACAAATAGTTTAATTCTCGGATTAAGAAAATGTGGCGAAATAGCGGAACTGAAAAGAATGATTCCTAATCTCGAGTTCTGAAAGTTACACGATCCACACCAGATTTGAATTGAAAGGGACGGTATTCATTACAGTTTGACTGGGGATATTGCGTGATCAGTTTTCTTTTCCGGGAGTGAACTACCGGACGATTTTGAACTTTGACTTCCCAGCAAGGAAGTAATTGTAATTGTAAGTCATCCAATTGTCAGTTCAGTTCAGTTCAGTTCAGCTTGAACAACCATTAACCACGCATATTCGTGCGCCGGTTTTGGTTGCTGTATTTTGACTGCCCATTTGGATGAAGAATAGGAGAAGAAAGGAAAGTTGAAAGTGGAGTCGAACGGAAAATGGAGAAGTTCAGTGGTCTAAGGTTGCGAAGAGATTGCGAAGGTGTACGACCGCCACTGGTTGCNACACCCAGCCATATCACTTAGTGTCTCAAACCATCGGTTACGATCATCCCGAGGTCCCCAGCCAGGGAGCCTAACAGGAACTATGTGACCCAGTCTCCTGGTCAGGGTTTTCATACCCTCGTGCCAGGTCCTAGCTTGACCACCCTTGGCTTTTTTCCACTCAGTGTCTGCTTCGGCGGACATCGCTCGCCGTGGTAACCTATCTGGTGACATGCGTAACACATGCCCTAACCAACGCAATCTATGGAGGTCGCCGATTGCTCCAGTGGGCGACCGCGGATACCCAAAACTCTGCCCCTAACCTCAGCATTGCTCATCCGGCTACTCCACCAGATTCGTGCAATGCTGCGTAGACAGCGGTCTTCAAACACCGACAGTCTAT